TTACAACCTAAGAGGCCAGTCGTAACAGTAGGTATACTGCACAAACAATGCACACAGTGTAGGTATAATGTACAAACAATACACACACAGAGTAGGTATACTGTACAAGCAATGCACAGTATAGGTATTCTGTACAAACAATGCATACAGTCAGTGCCGGCCTTAAGTCAACTGCTCCCAATTGGGCCCTGCGCCTAACGGGGCCCTGCGCTAGAGTAATCTACTCTCGGCTCGTCAAGTACACACAACAACACATTGCAGGTTCTAGAGAACAGCAATTATTAAAAAATTTTATGAATTTTTACAGTCGGTAGTGTTTATTTATATTGTTTATGTTTTGAATTTTTTTTTACTGTACCTGAATTAAATAATATGTTAATTACAGAACAGCATTAAAACTTATTTCTGTGAAAAAAATTAAAAAGACAAATATGTAAATAAACGTGTAACAGCTTTTAAATATCTATAAACCTATAGTAACAGTATCGTGTGATTAAATTACTATACATTACATCTTTATGCACATGCACATCTCTGTTGCAAAATATATAGTAGGCCTATATTCAGACTCAAGTATTTAAGTTTTACAACAGGGGCCAGGGGATAAGGGTAAATTATCCCAAATGGGGTAAATCCATAAAGTTTGGTAATACTGTACATGCAACATGAGGGCCTCAGTTTCCTCGAGTTTACTCCGCATTGTTAACAAATGTTTTCTTTGGCATGGTGACTGACCAAAGTTTCTAGATGTCGTCAGATTTACGTTTGTTTCCATCTCATGGTGTGAGTGTCCCTTCCGTCGAGTGTAAACACCGCTGACTGGATCTTACTACTAGCTGAATAATTTTGTGTCACGGACCCATAAATGAGGTAAGTTTTAGTGACCAAGATATAAACCATATATCTGAAATATGAAGTCACTGATTTTCGGAAGATTACTGTAAAGAGCAGTACAAAATGTTCATAAAACATCAGGTAAAAGATGATCGTCTATCATCTTTTATCATTATGTGTGACAAAAATAACAAAAAATAAATTAATATTTTTAATAAATCATTTCACAGTCACTAAAACAAGTGGTATTGTAACTATGTACTTTTCAGAGGTGATCTACACATTTTGTTTGTTACTTGTAGGCTTACATGTATGCAATTTTATATTAAAATGTAGCTTAGATCTGTTTGGTCCATTAATTCGCATGCACTTTTTAAGCGCATATTTTTATTACTTTCCATTCTACCATAGAGATATAAAGTCCATAATAGACTTTATTTATATTTTTATGATTCTACAGACCTTGGCTGGGAACCTGGGGCCCACCAAAATTGTTCCCAATTGGGCCCCGCACCTCCTAAGGCCGGCCCTGCATACAGTGTAGGTATTATGTACAAACAATGCACATGGTGTAGGTATAATAAGAACATAAGAATGAAGGAACTGCAGCTGGCCTATTGGCCCAAACTGGGCAGTCACATTTACACCCAACCCCTATTGCTCATATATCCATCCAACCTATGTTTGAAGCTATCCGGGGTGTTCGAGTTAATGATAATGTTTGGTAACTTGTTCCATTCATCCACTACTCTATTTCCAAACCAATGTTTACCTATTTTGCGCCTAAATCTAAATTTGTCTAATTTAAAACCATCGTTACGAGTTCGCTCCTGGTTGGATAGTTTGAGTACCTTTGTAATGTCCCCTTTGTTTAGCCCTGACTTCCATTTATACACCTCTACCATATCGCCCCTCATTCTACATCTCTCAACGAAGTACAAATTAAGATGCTTTAACCTTACTCTGTACTCAAGGTTCCTAATGCCCGGGGTTAGTTTTGTCATTCTCCTCTGAATTCTTTCTAGGGATTATAGAACTGCGTAATCCAAGTGAAGTCTCATCAGCGCAAGATATAGTTTTAGGATGACCTCGCTAGTCTTGTAACTAACACTCCTTTGTATGAACCCAAGTACTTTGTTAGCCTTGTTTCGAGCAAATACACATTGTTTACTTGGCTTAAGATTCCTACTTATCATTACTCCAAAATCTTTCTCACATTCGGTATTCTCTATAACATCGTTGTTTATTTGATATCTGGTTTCTCTGTTTACATCTCCTAGACTAAGTATCTGCCATTTTTCAGACCATTTGAAAAATTTGTTTGGATCTTCCTATAGTTTTGAGGAGTCCTAGTCAGATTTAATTAAACGCCCTATTTTAGTGTCATCAGCAAATTTACTGATGTTGCTGTCTACGCCGATGTCTATGTCGTTTATGTATATAACAAATAACAATGGTCCTAGTACTGAGCCCTGGGGTACTCCACTAGTGACGTTACTCCAATCGGATCTAGTGCCGTTAATGCTCACTCTCTGTATTCTGTCCTGTAACCACACCCTAATCCATTTTAAAATATCTCCTCCAATGCCATGAGCCTCCACTTTTCTTATTAGTCTTTCATGGGGGACTCTGTCGAAGGCTTTGCTAAAGTCAAGATATACCAAATCATAGTAGTGCCCCTCGTCCACTGATTCGAAAATGACTGAAAAGAACGTTAATAGATTACAGTAGTAAGACATGAACGCCCACTTGTGAAGCCATGTTGAGAATCATTGATCAAATTGTGCTTCTCCAGGTGATTTCAAATAATTTGAAATTATTGCTTCCAGTAAAATTGCCTGCAATTGATGTTAAACTGATTGGACGGTAGTTGGAGGATAGTGATCTATCTCCCTTCTTGAAAATTGGTATTACATTCACTATCCTCCAGGATTCTGGTACTACACCCATTTTTAAGGACATGTTAAACAAATTTGCAAAGGACATACTAAGCTCTTCCTTACATTCCTTCAATACCCATCAGGACCTGGTGACTTATTAGGCTTTAGCTTGTCTATTTGCTTACTAACATAGTTACTAGACACTACTATTTCGCTTAAACTATTTTCTTCTCTCTCTGTATATAGTCGGTGCCTCGGTAATCGAGTTTAAATTTTCGGTGGTGAAAACTGTTGAAAAATGTTTATTCAGATTATTGTTCATTTCTCCGTTGTTATCAGTTAGCTCACCAGTATCTGACCGTATTGGTCCAATCTTTTCTTGTGTTTTAGGTAACGGCTACCACCAGAAGTTTTGTTGATTTTCTTTTTTTTGCTGTACTTATTGTTTGGATGATTTTAAGTACAGGTAGACAACCCTTTGTCCGAAATTCCAAAAACCGAAAAGCTCCAAAAACTGAATTTTTTTTTTTGTGGGCAAAACTTTTTTCTTTTTTTTTTAAACAGGGATTAGCCCACCCGGGCATAGATCACTGACCCACATCGGCGCCTGGGGGGGCAAAAATATTATAATAATTATTCATAGTAAATAACAATTTTAATAAAAAATACACCAAAATAAAATAATAATGATGATAATAATAATCATAAAATATAATAATAAAATTAATAATAATAATAATAATAATAATAATAATAATAATAATAATACTGTAATAATAAAATAATAATAATAATAAAGAAATACAATAATGAAAACAGATCAAGTGAGAAACACGACCTAGACCTATGAATTGTTATTATTATAATTTTTATTATATTTTTGCCACCCAGGCCCCAATGTGGGTTAGTGACTTGTGCCCAGGTAGGCTATAAAAAAAAAAAAAAAAAAAAAAAAAAAAAAAAAAAAAAAAAAAAAAAAAAAACATTCTGAAAACCGAATAATTCCAAAATCCGAAATGCCTCTGGCCCCAAGGATTTCGGATAAGGGATTGTCAACCTGTATATTAAAAGAAACGATAACTTTCTATTGTGATTTTAATTTATTTAATTTTTTTATTTACTCTATCCTGCTTGACAATGGACAAGCTGAGTGGGAATTTTTTTGTAAATTGGCAGATCAATGGACAAAGAAAATGGTATGATATTTTGAAATAAATTGGGCCCAAAAGTGTCAAAAATAAGGGTTAAAGTTGCTAAAAAGTCACGTGACTGTGAAAAGCTCTGTGATTGGTTGCAACGTCACTGGTTGGGGTGAACTTCCCAGCAGGAGGCAGCCAGGTTTTCTTGTTCAACCTTCTCGGCTGATCGGTTCAGTATATATAAATATTATTGGATAATTAATTGTGCTTTATTGTGCAACACAATAATAATATTTTGAAGATACAGTATAAATATTACTAAACACAAACTAATTCAATGGGTATTAGCTGCCCACACAACAAATTTCATAGTACCTGTATAAACATTCCAAACAATATTGTAATTATTTTGGTTTTGGGGAACCTTAAGATTCTAACTATGGGATTAAGCACGTTAAACAATAAGACACATTATTTCTATGGGATTTCTGTCGCAAAACATTTTTCAATCGCATAAGAAAGTACAGGGTATGATGAGTTACAAGGTTAGCTCAACATACATCGGTAAAAGGTGTAATAACTCAAAACTAGTGATTTCTAATAGAATTGAAGGTCAAGTACAGGGATGACCAAAACTTAAAATTTAACCATTATAGCCTACCTCGAATCAAAACATCATAATACTTACGGTAGTTATAGTAAAATTTTACCCATCAATTAATATAAATGATGATATATCCCAGTAGTTCATTAGTCAATCATCAAAACAGTAACAGCACTATGTTGTCATGTTTAGCTAGCATCAGGCATTATCAAAAAGTCCAGACAATGTCATCACTTCTAAATTTACTCGTATCTCCATCTAGTACTGATATACTTCGTAAATGCACTGAAAAAAAAAAAGAGAAAGTCTACCAGGTAAGAGTACATGACAGCTGAGCTGGTGTGAACAAGGAAGTTTTTTATGTTCAAAAGACCATAAGAATGGAGGACACTGCAGCAGGCCATACTGGGCATTCTAAATTACACCCAAACCCTATCGCTCATAAATCCATCCAACCTATGTTTAAAGATGCTTTTCACAGCATATTTCTTCACTTATAAAATGTCCATGACTTTGCCATAAAAAAACACCCTTAAAATTTACCTGAATGTGGAATTTGGGATCTGAAGAGGCCATCCTTTCTACTACCTACGATTGCAGCCCAGCGGTGTTTGAAGCTAGTGATGTCATAGCAAATCTCAGTCCTGTTTCCAGAGAAATAAAGTTATCTCGACTATTATAGCAGGACTTTAAACTTTTATTACAAATTATATACCGTATCACTCTACGAACGTGGCAGTGTATTTCTTGTGTTCGCCCAGAACTGTCAACTCGTCCATTCTCTTCCTGGCACCATTTTTGTTGTTTACCTTGCCGAATACCCCTTCAAGGGACGTTTCCTACAAATGATGGTGAACGCTTTCACGTATTCCTCCTCGGCATTGCTGATGTATATCAACCTCAATATTAAGGTAAGTTGTTTAACACATAAATTAATGATAATGCATAGAACCTAATAGAACCTGACCTAATAAACTCATAGGTTGGGTATGTTAGGTCAGGTTCGATTAGGTTCTATGCATTAGTGTGTATACAAAATTCAACCAATTCAGACAATTCCTTTTGGTGGTCACCCTGTTCTACACCTTTACCAGAACTTACTATGATATGGTGAAATTTTAATAATTTTCTGGACTTGAGATGATACGGCCTCATTGGCGCTATGCAGCCCTGGCGGGTTAGTCCTATGTATTATTAACCACCTAAATTTCTGACGAAAACAGAATAATTTATCTTTCTTTCTCCCTATATAAGACTCAATATATCCGCTGGTGCTGGCACCTAAATATTAACCCACAAGGACAGTGTAGATATACAATGTACACAGCTGGTGTAAGTATACTGTAATGTACAGTTGCCAGCAAAAGTTCTCCCACAGCCCTGTGTAGCAAGTTTGTGGGAGGACTTGGTATTATTTTACTTTTGGACATACTGTAGCACCCCTGAAAGTTATAAACTACTGAAACATTTAGATTTTGCTATTCTGAGCATTTTGAACCCCATAGTACTATATACATGGGAGACATGGATAATAGCGACACAATCAAATTTAATTGACTTTAAGTAGTTTTCAGTCTTCGTCTGTGAGGTGATGTTATCAGCACATCACGCATGCGCAATGTTGATGGACGTCATCCAGTCGAGACCAATGAGGTATCGATATCATCATGCGAATTTTTTTCGACCAATCACATTTTTTTTTTCAAAGGAAGCAGCCTGGGTATGATTTTAATTTCATTGACCAGTTTCACAATGGCCGTGGTGAAGGTTGGTTGTCGTTTGTGCTCCTATGATTATTTTAAGTTTATTACCAAGTTTTATGAGAAAGACAATCATTCTATCCATTTCTTACGTTTCCCTGATCCTTCCACTTCTAATTAAGGCATTGTACTTTCAGACATGGCGCACCCCAAAGTTTTTACTACTGAAACATTTAGGTTAGTTTAAGCCCCGGCTAGTGTTCAGGTTAGGCCTACCAGGGGTTCGGGGACAGAGACCCCGGCTAGGAGTTAGGTTAGTTTTTGTTAGGTCAGACGACTTGTGTTCGTTTTCTCCCCCACCCAAAAAACCCGATTTCCCAGGCTCTCCTCCATTACTGTTTGGGGGGGGGGGAGGGACTAGCAATTTCCGCCAAAAATGAAGGTCAGATCCGTTTAAAACACACCAAAACACACTGGAAAAACATATTGGTCAACCCCTAGGGACTCATGACCTGAAGTAAAAAATTACCGAGGACTTTGGCTGGCAACTGTACATACAGTGCAGTGTAAGTATACAATACACAGATAGTGTAGCAGTACATATTGTGAAGGTACACAAGAAGGGCGAGGTTTACCTAATCTCTCTCAATAAACAAAGTAATGAGTAAACCCACCTGATGTAGTCAGTGAGGAAGAGCATGTTAAGTAAAGTCATTACTTGTTGTTTGTTAGCACTGCTAGTTGCTGCACCAAACGCCATCGGAATGAGAATTATAAACTCTTTAGGACAACCTGCCAGGGAGTGTTGTGACGGCACCGAGTGAGAGCTCCAGCAGTGTTGCCAGATGGTTAGAAATATGGCTAACTCTACTGTGCATACATATCAAAATAGAAATTGAAGGAAACTACGTATTTTAATGTTTTCCATACTAGTTCTTTTCTTACCTTTTAGTTACATATCTTGTTATATAATTTTTAGCACGGTCATAGTCGTCTTCATTTCTTCAGTGGACGATGTTGATGGCTTGTCTGGTGCACTGTTCATACTTCTGACTTGAATCATCTCAAATCTCGCATACACGCCACACAACGAGAGGCATTCAACGAAAATTGGACACACCTGAAACAACGGGGTAGTATCACACTATGACGCTGTAACCGGTGACGACAACCGCCACTACAAAGAATATCAATCCCTGACTCGATCTCAACAGCTTATATACATGAGACTGCGCCTAGGGTACAGGTACCTATGGGAGTACATTGGCAACCCTGAGCCTCACCGCACTGTTTGTAAACTTTGTGGCCAACCCGACTCTCACACCCTCTCTCACTTGCCCTATGACCTCCTCCTACAGGTCCCCAGCCGTTACCAACACCTCTTCCCTCCCAGACCAGATATCCCTCCTCCTAGTCACAGGCCTGGCATTTGACATTATTAGGGACCTGCCACTCTTTGCCATAAACAGATAAAATGTACCGGGAACTTTCCCCCTCACACACTCATCATTCTCTCACTTTATGTAACTTGACAAAACCTATGACCCTTCAGGCTTTTACGCCCTTAATGTACGAGTCATAAAGGCAAGTATGAACTTTTCATACTTCCCTGTTGGGCACTGTAAACGCTTCTGCGCTTCACCTTGCACAGGATGTAAGGGGGTGCCCAATAAACTAGCCCCCTCGGGGGCAAATCTGAAATCTGAATCTCCTGACTTGAGGTTACAAGGCCGAGAACATCATTTGGAGTCATATGCTATGCAAGTTTGTGATATCCTTTTAAGGCCATAGCGAATGTGAAGTAATGCATTAATGGTGTCCGTTTTCATTTTATTCCTTAGCTTACTCTTAACCAAATTCATTTGGCTAAACATTCTTTCGATTTCTGCATTGGAGTGTGACAAACTTAGGATAGGTAAAGCAGCTGATGACAACTCTAGGTAAGGATTTGAGTTTGAATCATCTTTGTACCTGCGGACTTCAGCCCAAAATTTTACTGTGTCCTGGGCTTCACATCATTTTACTAGTGTTATATTTGACCACTGGAGTTCAATTTTTGTAGTCTTCTCCACTAACACTCAAAGATTCTAGAAGAGGGGCAATGGAGTTTTTACTACATGCAAAGCATTTGAGATACTTAACAGTGAAATTGTTTTCAATACTCGTACATAATCTGGGAGTCTGGTTTTGCTCTCGCTCCTTTGACAGATGCACTGGCAATTCTGATAAAATTTTCTCAATTTCATAACCAAGATACAGTTTTGGTGCTAAATACTCCCTTAAGTTGCAGGTGAAAGAATCTATGAAATGTTGATGAGATAGTAGTATCACTCTATTCACCAGCGTTTCAATCAGAAGTGTCAGATTGTCCAATAACTTTGTGGGATCAGTCATTAGATTAAAATATTTTGTGCACTCTTTGAAGGTCACTTAAAATACTTACAAAACTGCATGTAGGCATGGTTGAATTCATCACTGTACATGACATGTAACATTTCTGATGTATAGCACCTTTCAGACGATTTTGCAATACCAAAATGTGCTTTCACCTCTAACCATTGGTAACATAGTCTTTGCACTGCAGAAGCATTAGACAGCCAACGGGTCTGGGAGGTGGAGTTGGTGTTAGAGGTGGGGTTGGTGTTAGAGGTGGGGTTGGTGTTAGAGGTGGGGTTGGTGTTAGAGGTGGGGTTGGTGTTAGAGGTGGGGTTGGTGTTAGAGGTGGGGTTTAGTGGTAGAGGTGGGGTTGGTGTTAGAGTGGGGTTGGTGTTAGAGTGGGGTTGGTGTTAGAGGTGGGTTGGTGTTAGAGGTGGGGTTGGTGGTAGAGGTGGGGTTGGTGGTGGAGGAGGTGGTGTGGTGGAGGTGGTGTTAGGTGGTGGAGGTGGTGGTGTTAGTGGTGGAAGAGGTAGTGTTAGTGGTGGTGGTGTTGGTGGTGGAGGGCTGGTGTTGGTGGTGGAGGGCTGGTGTTAGTGGTGGAGGTGGTGGTGGTGGTGGAAGAGTGATGTTGAGTGGTGGAGGTGGTATTAGAGGAAGAGGAGGTGGTATTAGTGGAGGTAAAGGTGTTAGTGGTGTGGTGGTGTTAGTGGTGGAGGGAGGTGGTGTTGGTGGTGGGAGGTGGTGGTGTTAGTGGTGGAGAAAGGAGTGTTAGTGGTGGAGGGTGCTGTTAGTGGGGTGGAGGTGGTGGTGTTAGTGGTGGAAGGTGGTGTTAGTGGTGGAGGTGGTGTTGGTGGTGGAGTGGGATGGTGTTAGTGGTGGAGGAGGTGGTGTTGAGAGGTGGTGGTGTTAGTGGTGGGTGGTTGTGTTGGTGGTGAGGGTGGTGGTGTTTGGTGGTGGAGTTGGTGGTGTTAGTGGTGGAGGTGGTGGTGTTAGTGGTGGAGGAGGTGGTGTTAGTGGTGCAGGGGTGGTGTTAGTGGTGGGTGGTGTTAGTGGTGGGGTGGTTGTGTTAGTGGTGGAGGCGGTGGTGTTGGTGGTGGGGTGGTGGTGTGAGGGTGTTGGGGGAGGTGGTTGTGTTAGTGGTGGAGGTGGGTTGGTGGTGGAGGTGGTGTTAGTGGTGCAGGTGGTGGTGTAGTGGTGGAGGTGGTGGTGGTGAGTGGTGGAGGCGGTGGTGTTGAGTGGTGGAGGTGGTGTTGGTGGTGGAGGTGGTGTTGGTGAAGTGGGTGGTTTGTGTTGGTGGTGGGCGGTGGGTGTTAGTGGTGGAGGTGGTGGTGGTGTTAGTGGGGGTGGTTTGTGTTAGTGGTGGAGTAGTGTTTGTGGTGCAGGTGGTGGTGTTAGTGGTGCAGGTGGTGGTGTTAGTGGTGGAGGTAGTGGTGTTAGTGGTGGAGGTGGTTGTATTAGTGGTGGAGTGGTGGTGGTGTAGAGGTGGGTGGTTGTGTTAAAGTGGTGGGTGGTGGTGTTGGTGGTGGAGGTGGTGGTGGAGGTGGTGGTGTTAGGTGGAGGTGGTTGTGTTGGGGTGGGTGGTTGTGTTGGTGGTGGGTGGTGGTGTAGGTGGTGGAGTGGTGGTGGTGGTGTTGGGGTGGAGGTGGTTGTGTTGGTGGTGGAGGTGGTGGTGTTGGTGGTGGGTGGTGGGGTGTTGGTGGTGGAGGTGGTGGTGGTGTGGTGCAGGTGGTGGTGGTGGGGGTGGTTGTGTTGGTGGTGGAGGTGGGTGGGTGTTGGTGGTTGGAGTGGTGGTGTTGGTGGTGGTGTTGGAAGTGGTGGTTGTGTTGAGTTGGTGAGGTGATTGGTGTGTTGCAGAGATGGTGGTGGAGTGGTGGTGGTTGATGGTGGAGGTGTTGGTGGTGGATGTAGTTGGTTGGTGGGGTGGTTGGATGTGGGTGGAGTTGGTGGTGCTGGTGGTGGGTGGTGGTGTTGGTGGTGGAGGGGTGTGGTGTTGGTGTGGGTGGAGGTGGTGGTGTTGGTGGTGGAGGTGGTGTCGGTGGTGGGGTGGTGGTGTTGGTGAGGTTGGAGATGGTGGGGTGTTGGTGGTGGGTGTGGTGGTGTTGGTGGTGTGGTGGTGTTGGTGGTTGGGTGGTGGTGTTGGTGGGGTGGGTGGTGGTGTTGGTGGTGGGTGTTAGTTGGGTGGTGGTGTTGGTGGTGGAGGTGGTGGTGTTAGTGGTGGAGGTGGTGGTGTTGGTGGTGGAGTGGTGGTGGTGTGGTGGAGGAGGTGGTGTTAGTGGTGGAGGGTGTTAGTGGTGGGTTCGTGGGTTATGAGTGGTGGAGGTGGTTGTGTGTATTTGATTGGAATGGTGGTGTTGGTGGGTGGAGGTGGTGTTGGTGAGTGGGTGGAGGTGGTGGTGTTGGTGGTGGATGGAGGTGGTGTTGAGTGTGGTGGAGGTGGTGTGGTGGTGGTGGTGGTGTTGTGGTGGAGGTGGTGGGGTTGGTGGTGGAGGTGGTGGTGTTAGTGGTGGGGTGGTTGTGTTGGTGGTAGAGTTGGTGGTGTTGGTGGTGGAGGTGGGTGGTGGTGGAGTGGTGGAGAGGTGGTGGTGTTAGTGGTGGAGGTGGTGGTGGAGGTGGTGTTAGTGGTGGGAGGAGGTTGTGTTGGTGTGGTGGAGGTGGTTGTGTTAGTGGTGGAGGTGTGGTTGTGTTAGTGGTGGAGGTGGGGTAGTGGTGGTGGTGGAGGTGGTGGTGTTAGTGGTGGAGGTGGTGTTAGTGGTGGAGGTGGTGTTAGTGGTGGAGGTGGGTTGGTGGTGGAGTGAGTGTTGAGTGGTGGAGGTGGTGGTTGTGTTGAGTGGTGGGCGGTGGTGTTAGTGGTGGGTGGTAGTGTTGGTGGTGGAGTGAGTGGTGTTGAGTGGTGGGGTGTTTGTGTTAGAGTAGTGTTGGTGGTTGGAGTGGTGGTTGTGTTGGTGTGGTGGAGGTGGTGGTTGTGTAGTGGTGGGGCGGTGGGGTGGTGGTGGAGGTGGTGGGTTAGTGTGGTGGTGGTGGTTTGTGTTGGTGGTGGAGGTGGTGTTGGTGGTGGAGGTAGTTGGTGTTGAGGTGGTTTTGGTGGTGGTGTTAGTGGTGGAGGTGGTGGTGTTAGAGTTGGGAGGTGGTTGTGTTGGTGGTGGTGGTGTTGGTGGTGGGGTGGTGGTGGTTAGTGGGTGGGTGGTGGTGTTAGTGGTGCAGGTGGTGGTGTTAGGTGGAGTTGGTTGTGTTGGTGGTGGAGGTGGGTGATGTTGGTGGTGGAGTTGGTGGTGTTGGTGGTGGGTGGTGGTGTTGGGGTGGGTGGTGTTGGTGGTGGAGGTGGTGGTGTTGGTGGTGGAGATGATGGTGGGTGGTGGTGTTGTGGGTGGAGGTGTTGGTGGTGGGTGGTTGGTGCAGATGGTGGAGTTGGTGGTGCTTTAGTGGTGGAATTGGTGGTGTTGGTGGTGGAAGTTAGAGTTAGTGGTGGAGGTGGG